GATAAAAAGGTCAAGGGTCTGTGCTATGTCACTGATGCATGCTTATCAGCAAGTTTTTGCCTAGCCTCTTGTAGTTTTTGGTTGAGCCAAATTAATCATGTTTAGAAAGGGTAGGAGGATATGTATTTTGTATAGCCAGTTTTACACACACACACATACACACACACATGAATATTATCTCCAAGTAAATGCAGACATGATTCAAACATGAACATTTATCAAGGCACACAAAGATTCAGGCTTTGGAAGAGATAATAAACCCATAAAGTTTTTATGCAGTCCATGTTTGAAAAATATAGGCTTCACTATAAAGGGTTTTTGTATCCTAAACAGATTTGATTTTTGAGAGCTTTAAGACACAATTGGTATTATCCATCTTTTTTTACAGCCATTCTGATGGGTGGATAATAGTATCTTACTGAGTGGGTAGTTTTGGTTGGTTTTGTGTTATTTTTTTTAAATGTTTATTATGGAAATTTTTAAACACACATGAAAAATAAAGAGAAGAGTAAAATGAACCTGATTTACCTAACAGGTAGCATCAACAATTCTCAGTACATTGCCTGTTTTATTTCCTATATGTCTCTACCTACTTGCCTCTCCCCGCTCCCCGACCAAAGTTATTATGAAGTGTATCCCAGACATCAGGAGTGTCATCCTCTAGCTATGATGTACTACATACTGGGAATTCTCTGGAGGCTGTGTTTTTGTTATTTTTTAAATAATCTAATATAAAAATTCTCCAATATGAACAATTTCAGATCTATATCCACTTACAGGAATATATAAATCACAGAACTTTAGAAACCTCCAAAAATATCCATATCTTTTTTTCACATTAGTAAAAAATTAATAAAAAATCTTTTTAGATTTTTGCTTGGTAACTTGATTGCTAAATTCAGAATATCATTTCTAATGGTGTCCACATATTGTTGATATATTTTTAAAGTTTACTTTTTTCCCTAGGATAAAAGTAAATCATGAACATTTTATACCATGAAAATAACAAATCACGCCTGTCTCCCTTTGGAAATATCCAGTGTTAGCTATTTATTATGTTACTTTTCAGATTTTTCCTGTGAATACATTTTACATAGTTAAGGTCATACTTAGTGTTCCCATATCTTTCAAAACTTGGATAATATCCAGGTTTTTCCTTTTAAAGGAAAAATGTGAATAACCCATGGTTTGCAGATCCCCCCAGGGGCCAGGAAACTAATTATTTTAAAACTAATTTGATAGTAATTTAGTTAAGAAACTAAATTTTTATCCTATGAGTATATCTTTCAAGTCAAAATTTCACTGTGACAGAGAAGTTTTTATAACTGATAAAATACATTTTTAGATTATAATTAAGAGTGAAATACATTAATACTGTTCTAGAACTCACATTTTCTAGGGAACAACAAAGCCCATTTTTTAAAACACTGGACTACTAGATTGATAATTCATAACCACAGGTAATTAAACTTTATTTCAGCCTTGAATTGGACCTTCTTGTCAAGTATACCCTTACTCAGAAGGATAACACATAGCAACAGGAAGGAATGAAATGGATCTGACTGGACCTGGAGGCCAGGAGGAAGAGTCAAGAGTGATTTCCAGGTGGTGCTGCCTGAGCTGAATTGCAGAGGTGAATTGGGGCTTACATGGTAGGGAAAGGTCAGGTAGGAGATGGTCTGACCTGAGTCACAGAGAGTCATGTGTGCATGTTGGTGGTCAGCTCAGTAAGATAGGAGGAGAGAGGTACTGGATGAGCACTTAGCATCTGTGTTGCAAGAGAAGGTATCCTGCATTTTCCCCAAGCAATCTGGAGCTGCTGAGGAGTTGCAGAAGTGTTTAGTGGCAGGATTAAAGTCAGGATTGGCTTCTGTGTAGTGGTCATTAGGAAGCTTTCACCAGAACAGAAGGATCTTTCCTAGCAGCCTCTGATGGTTACCCCTCTTCTTATGTGGTCCTGGTCTGGAGACACAGAGAAGTCTTAGGGTGAGGGTTCCACTGTTCTCTGTTCAGGCAGAACTACAGGTGCACAACTCTCAGGAGGGCAGGTCTGCATGGGGAACCGTAGGGCACAGCTACTCACCTGGCCTTCTCTCAGATGGCTGGTTTTCCACAGAAGGCTTAGAGCGGCATGTCCCAGGTCTTCCTGTAGGTAGGCATTCCCTCTCGGTAGATTACGGCTTCACACCCAGCCAGATGTTGCCATGGCTACCAAAAGCCCTGCTTTCTTCTGCCTGTCATGGGACACAAAAAGCTTTACTTTTGGTATTTCATCTAAGAGAAACAAATATTGTTAGTATGTACCTACAAAATTATAATAGTCTATACATTTTTCCAAAACTATGTGGCCTGGGTTACAGTCTAACCCTGAGAAAAGGAAGTCAAAGGGGAGACTCTGGGTTAGGATATGCCATCTCTCCTTGAGGTTCACAACAGCAGGTGGGGAAGAAGTTCTGGCCCGATTTCTGTGCTGTTTCTCTCAAGCTCGGGCTGGCCAGCCAGCCGCATGCGGAGACAGCCTGATGTCATGCAGGGAGTGGGGCTCCGGCTCGTCTACTGCTGGCTGTTCCAGCTCCATGCCCTAGCAAGTGACATAGTCATTGCTCAGTTTTCCCCTCTGTATAATGGAAATAGTAACAGCTGCACCTCCAGGGATTTTCATGAGAATAAAGCAAGTTATTTTATTAAGGTTCTTTGAACCATGTTTGAAAATTAGCACATTATTACTTCTTTATTGTGATGTAGCCACTCACCTATATTTGTTGAATAAGTATTTGTGGAATAGATAAGTGAGAAAATGAGTGGAAAACATAGTGCCAAAGACATATTTTGCTTATGACTTACCTTATAATCTGTAACTGCATAGGCTGACCTACCTTATCAATATATGGCTTATAAACAAACACTCTCACACTCACACATACACCACACACACACATGTCCTGCTAGAAACAATCCAGTCACTTACTCTGGTGGATAAATGAGCACTCTGCCTGGTTCTGACTATTGCTATTTGCTCTCCTGTGCCTTTGTTCTTAAGTGAGCCCATGACGGTGATGCACTGAACACTATTTGTTCACCGTAAAAAGTGCCTGGGAACAAGACCATGTACAGTGTTCATGCAAAGTCAATTTGAAGAGTTCTGAGGGTTTGTAGAGATTGCTTTCAGTCATATAAATCTGGAGTGTATGCATCTGAGGTGGGGTGGGGTAAGATTTGATTATTAGACTTATAATTTGTGGTTGAATAAATTCACACCCACTTGTGTTGAATGTCCTGAATGTTCTGGGTTGTTGATGTGGCCTGCTTCCCAGCTACAGCCCCTGAAGTTAAGATGCTGTGAGTCAGTGTGTGATAAGCACACAAGAGCACAGGCGTTTGGCTTGTAAGCTCAGAAACAGGAAAACTTCCACTGGTTCTACAGGGAGTGACCATCCCTGTTTGGGGCTGGAGGGAGGGAGCAGGAAGTTGGTCAGAGATCTTTTCCCTTTGAGGCAGGTTACTATATCACTTCTAAATTAAGCATATGGCTATATTTGGTAATGCAAAATGTAGGGCTGAAGAATAAGCAACTTACTTTATGCAAACAGATTAGCATATCATGTATACAGTTAGGCCTTTGCTGTTTCCGGGCTTTGGGCCCAGCATGAGAGCTCACCCATCACTGTCTGACATGGTGCTAAAGCCAGGGTCTATCATCTTTTGTGGGGACAAAAACCTTAGTTTGAACACCACATTCCTAATCATTTTCAAGGTTGTTTGCTTCTGGAGACTTTATAAAGGTCATAATAGGTTCAGATGTTAGAACATCGGGGTAATTGGATGTAAAATGGTGTCAATGGAATCAGTAGCAGGGCTCATTCTGTCCACGGGTAGCCCCCCTAGTGGGAGTGAAAGAAGAGCCTGGCAAACAACACAGTCATTGTAAGTAGGGCCTCCTTCAGGGCCCTCTGGGGCCGCACAGTGGGAGATGACGGCCACTGGTCACAGGATGGGTAATTTCATTGGTTCCACTTGCTGGTCACAGTGGCACATGCTGGTCAGTCATGCCCCAGTCGGCAGGCCTTGGAAGTTAAGAACTCCATGACAGCATGTGTTATCTCTTGTCTTTTTGATGATGGTCATTCTAACAGTGGGAATGTAAATTGGTACAACTATGAAAAACAGTTTGGAGAACTCTCAAAAAATTAAAATAGAACACCATATGATCGAGCAATTTCATTTTTGGGAATATAGCCAAAGGAAACAAAAAAATAACTCCAAAGATATCTGTACCCCCATGTTCACTGCAGCATTTACAACAGTCAAGACACAGAAACAAGTGCCTATCAATGGATGAATGGGTAAAGAAGTTGCGGAGTAGCCATAAAAATGTGGACTATCATTCAGCCATAAAAAATATGGAAATCCCATCATTTTTGACAACATGGGTGGACCTTGATGGCCTATGCTAAATAGAATAAGTCAGAGAAAGACAAATACTGTATGATCACATATGTAGGTGGAATCTAAAAATAAAAACAAAAAATAGATAAAAACAAACTCATAGAAAGAGATCAGACTTGTGGTTACCAGAGTCAAGGGGATGGGGAGAGGGCGGATTGGAAGAAAGGTGGCCAAAGGTACAGACTTCCAGTTTGAAGGTAAATAAGTACTAGGGATGCAATATACAGCATGATGACTACAACTAACACAGCTCTATGGTATACAGGAAAATTGTTAAGAGAGTAAATCCTAAAGAGAATGTTTTTTTCTTTTTCATCACATGGATAATTTTTTTTCTTCTTTCTTTTTATTGTATCTACATGAGAAGATGAATGTTAGCTGAACCTATTATGATAATCATTTCACCACATGTGTAAATTAAACCCTCACCTCAAGCTGTATGCATTATACATATGCGGTGATGCATGTCAAATATTTCTCAATAAAACTGGGGGGGGGGAAGAAAGAGCTCCTGTATTTTTTTGTGTGTGTTTATTTTGGTTTTGTTGTTGTTGTTTTTGAGCTTCTAACTCAGTGTTTTGCTGAGACCAGTGCTGGTACAGATGAGATACACGGAGTCCAGCTCCATTTCCTAGAAGCCATCCACAAGGTTTTCCTTGTAGACATCATCACTGGAGACAATCTGGATACTCTTGTCCCGGTGGCAACCCTTAGGGCTGTTTAAGACAGCAAGGGAGCCCCAGATAGACTTGCCAGTGGCAGCATCCAGCATGGGCCGTTTGCGGGCAATGCTGACTTTGAGCTGTATCGATTCTACCTGGATCCCATTGAGCTCAGTAATGGCGTGATCTGCTGACGCCATCTTTTCATAGGTGATGGAGGCACAGTTTCTGGGTGGGCCCATGGAGAGGTCAATGATGTTTCCAAAGGAAGAGAAGGCCCCACAGAAGACGGTGGGCATCATGTCCTCTCCACACACCTAAAGAGTATTCCCCTTCTGAGGGGCCCTGCTTTGGGGGAACGAGTCCAACATGTGGAAGGGGCCTTCTGGTTCTTGATCAGGGTCCCTGTCTTTGTCCCCATTCTGCTCACAACTGTGGCCCCAGCTGCAGCTTCGGGGAGGGGAGGCTGAGGAGTGGGCACCACCAGGTTTTTTAGAGCACCAAAGTTCTGAGGGGGCCCCTCACCAGTCCCTGGGCCCTCTGCCTCTTCCCCATCTTGGCCCCAGTTCCCGAAGCCCATCACTGGAAGACACAAAACTCTCACACGGAGATTTTCTCTGGGGCAGATATGCTCCTTTGGGACAGCTGGAAATTGTGGACTGGCCCCTTCTCAGGGTCCTTTAACTTCCCCGCCAGGGTTTGAGAACGTCTGAAGCCCGAGTTCTTGGTCTCAGCCTTGAGGACACTGACAGCTCCTGATTTCACCAGCTAGTTTGCTCGCTCTGTTGCCATGGCTGGGCCTACCACAGGCTGCTCTGACAGTGAACGTTGAACACTGCCTTGGCTGGCTCTGCTGTACTACTTTGCTTCTTCAGAGCCAGCAATGCCTTTTTCTTTTCTTTGAGCTGGTTGAATTTCTTCTGCAGAGCCTCCTCCTCCTGGCTGAGTCCAGGGGTAATCACCGACCTGGTGGCTCCAAACAGGGCAGTAACCAGAGTCCCAAGGTCTCCAGTGGCACCTGCTCAGGCCAAGAGCTCCCGTATCTCTGCAGGTGACATATGGTGGCAAAGGTCCTAGTAATCTTGGAGATGCCAAAGGTACCACTATTCCTCAATTTCCACAGCACCCAATGTAAAGCCAATGGAAAGGAAGCTTGCTTTTCTAAAGGTTTTGAGTCATCATTGTAGAGAAGAAAACAAGGCCAACATAATACGTAGTACAGATCCAAACTAGATTGCAGAATTAAGGCCAGAGAAATCTCTGGAGACTTGGGTATTATTACCAGAGAACTTCTTTTGCTAAGAGGTATTGTGTGAAGAGTCATTTAATGTTTGCAAATGTATTGACCTTTTATAATCTCAAAACCTTTTTCTTGTTTTTTGTCCATAGAGAGGTTTTAAGCTGCTTGTTCATTAAGACGTATAATTCAAAATTAAGTGAAAAAGATAAGCCGTAAGGGCAGGTCAATTATCTTTTGGTATCTGTATACAAAGGAAGATCATTACTAAATACTGATGTTTAGAGTATTTATATGGAAAGAATACACATTATAAGGAATAAAAGTAGGCATGAGTTGGATTTTTCCCATTAGGTGAATAATATGTTAAATTTAGGGTGAAAATGTCAGGATGGACATGGTGGTCTGTTTTTATAGAAAAATAGAAGTATAGCACAACTTCCTTTTTAAGGATTTGCAGAGACAGAAATTCAGTCATTATATTATATTGAGCTTTGACAGTATGATTGCTTTGGGGGGTTATGATTTAATCCATGTCACATGTGACTCCGTGTAGAAACATGACATGTGAAAACAGGCTGGTAAAACACTCGGGTATGGCTCTGTGCAATTTGCTTATTACCAACACTTCATGGAGAGCTCACGTTAAAGGTGACAAATGAAATTGAGGGCAACCTCCAAACTTCTAATGCCTGCTGGAAATTATGCTGGTTGAAGATGTCAGGAAATTCCTGAAAATTTTTCACAGAATTAGAATGTAGGTAAGAGGAAGGGATATGGTGATAATGATGCTAGATTTATCCTGAAGTTGAGTTTTGCTTCTCCTAATATAAAAATGGTCATAGGCACTGGCTATCTCAGGCAGATCAGTATGGTTTCCACATTAGTTAGTTAACAACAGAGGCACCTTTCAAGGTGAAAGGTCACAAACAGAGATTACCTCCCCTGCCCCCTGTTCTGTTAATATAGGTCACTGGCAGGATAATCAGTTCTGTTTCATAACTGTGTCCCAAAAGAAAAGAACTATATTAGTATGCAAGAACAACAGTCCTGTAAAAAATACTGATAGCAGCAGGAGTCTTCAGAAAACAAATTTTATTTCTTTCAAATTAATAACTCGGAGTGGTTGCACGTGAATCATTCATTTCTGAGCACTTTTCTCAAAACAAAATTTAGATTTAGAGTCATATCTCCCAGATGGGGTGAGTATCCAACAGGTGCTAAAAACTCTCCATTAAACTGAAGTTTGAAACTATGATGGTAAAACCTCCCACGAAGGACATCTTTTTATTTGCTTTTAAAATTAGTTTTTAACATGTTTATCACTGGCTCAGATCTGTTTTGATAAGGTAAGAAAACATTTCTCAAGTGAATCCAAATATTCACCAATCTAATGGGAAAAAGTAAAGGTTAATTAAGCCTTCTCCATTTGCATCTGAAGCAAAGCTTTGGTCCATAATTCCTTTTCCTTTAAATGTTTCCCAGAGTTAATTTTCTCATCCCCCAGCATCCTCCTCCAGTCTGTGTGGGAGGGCAGTGTGGCCTTCAGGCTTGTCCTCCCCCCAGATTTGTGTTACGCAGGGCAGGAGCCAGGAGACCACAGGCAGGTGTCAGGCTCACTCCCTGTATTTGGTGGTGTCCCAAACTCCACAGGGTACAGAGGTCCAGGAAAAAAATGCGAAATCAGCCACCCAAGTCGAATGGAAAATTTCAGGATGTTAGAAAATATGGGGACAGCTGATGGCTGAGGTCATGGCTCAGAATGATTTTTTGGTTTACCTGTTTACCAAAAGCATTTCATTCATTCCTTTACAAAAAAAAAAAGAAAGAAAGAAAGAAAGAAAGAAAGAAAGAAAGAAAGAAAGAAAAGAAAAGAAAAGAAAAGAAAAGAAAAGTAAAAGAAAAAGGAAATAAAAACTTACAGGAAGAAAAAAAAGTTGTTAATCTATTCTGACAAATAGGATAATGAGCATCATTGTGTAAAATTTATATTCATAGATTTAACATGATCTGTATGAGCCATATGACAAATCTCTCTAGTTTTTTGTTTTGTGTTTTTTTCACTGCTTGTTCTTTTGTGTCATTTCTCAGAAATCACTTAAGTGTACATATTTATAAGGAAATTGAAGCCATTATAGAACATTATAGAACTAGAAATAGACTAGTAGGTAAATATTTAAATTCATTTGAGAATTTTTTTTTTCAGCGAGGGAGAGACACCCATCATTTGGTTGATATGCTTTGCTGCCATGCCTTAGGGTTTTCAAAGAGGTTGCTGAGGAATTTGGTAGGAAATGGAAAAATGTCAAGGAGAGGGCTCTCCATTGAATTTTTGGTCTACATGGAGAAAAACAGAGAGAGGATATGACATTTACTCCAACTGGCATAAATGTTGGCCCCTGTGTCCTTTACATTCTCTACTCTGCTCCTCTGGGCCCCACTGAGTTACTTGCGCCTCTCCACCATCCCAGCCCCTACTCAGAGCTGTCTCCCTGCAGAAAGTAGTCCAATAAGTCAGGTGGATGTTCTCCCCCAAAGGGCTTCCCCCAATGAGAGTGTTTTAAGGGTACCAGGGGAAACGCCATGGGCTGGCAGTCAAGAATATATAGCAGTGTCCGTGACCTAAAGATTCCATGTGGTATTAAATCCTTTTGTGTGAGAACTCTCTGGAGTCCTCTTATATTAAAATAAACTTTGAGACTGCAAGAGGAGGATATGGTATACAGCCTGTGACAGAATTCTGACCAGAGAAGTCTTTGGAAAACATCTGAAAAGATTCATATTTTCTGGAGCACAGTTTGGAAACCGGAGCCAGGCACTGATTTTCAAACTTGCCCCATGAGTGCCTTGGAGGAAGTTTGCAAAGAAGCAGAGGCAGGATTCAGGCCTATTTCAAGAAGAGTCTTTCTTATTCATTTCTTTTATATATCTGGCTTTTCAATGACTAAGGTTTTCTTTGAAGAAAGGTCTCCTTGACCAAAAAAAAAAAAAAAAAAAGAGGATTCTAGAAATATTTGTGGATGTTCAAGACTGAATCTCAACGTCAGCTATTTTTTCCCCCTGGCTTTGCTACTCCTCAGACTTTCTTATGGTATTTTTGGAATGAAACCACATATTTATACTTGAGTATGAAATCCAAAAGCCAAAAATGTCTGATATTTTTTCCCACAAGTGCGTTAGAACCATGAGCAAATGAAAGGACTCCCTCTTAGTGGGAGATCACTGTGGGAGCTCAAGAGAAGGAAAGAAAGATGAAGGCAGTTCTGTTGATTTATGTATAAATTCCCCCCATGTAGTTCATTAGCTGGACACTCAGCTGAGCACCAGGATGTCCTGGGCAGAGGCTGTAAGTCACTGAATTCACCACAATGGCCACCTGCAACATAGGGAAGCTGCATTCTAGAGGCTTGTTCCAGTTAGATGGACTTCTACAAAACTGCATCACTTTCTCTGGATAAGGGAGACATATTAAAAATTGTGATTTGTTTAATCACAGGCCCAAGAAGACAAGTTCTCAAGTATGAAATAGAAAACATGATTCTTGAACATCAACCTGGGACCTTACATTTATACTGCATTTTCCTAGATTTCCAGACCAAATACATGCATTATTAAGCACAAGTCTAAATTATTTTTTAAATTTAGGGGCGCCTGGTGGCTTAGTCAATTGAGTTCAGGTCACAATCTCAGGGTCCTGGGATTGAGTTCCATGTCCTGCTCTCTCTGCTCAGCAGGGAGTCTGCTTGTCCCTCTGCCCCTCCCCCGACCCACACACCCATCCCCCAGCTTGTGTGCACACTCTCTCTCTGTGTATCTCTCTCTCAAATGAATAGAATCTTTTAAAAAATATTATTTAAATTTAGTAGGTGGAAAAACAATAGAGGCTGATAAATGGGTCTGGGAAGTGTCCCATGGCTGTATTGGATCCTACTGCCCACAGCTCAGTATCTCCCAGGAGCCCACTCACTGCGATGGAGCAAACTTATTTGGAGGGGTAGTTAAGGAAACCCCTGGTAGAAAGAATCCTGACCTCTTTTTTTTTTCTTTCTTTTTCCTTTTGCTAATTTTTTTTTTCTTTTTTAGTTACATACTCTATAACTTGCTCTGGGCAAAATTCTCTCAACAGGCTGTGGGATAAATTCAAAATGAGTAGCAGAAATGACAACTTATCTTTATTTCAACATGGAAATGTGGTTTCCCCAGATGTTTCTAATGTTCCAAATAGGGATTTTCAAAGACTGAACATTGCATCAAGGCTGCCAGCCTAAAGGACTGTACACAATCGTGGTGCTTCTGTGTGTGTCTGTGTCTGTATGTCTGTCTGTCTCTTTTCTCTCTCTCTCTCTCTCACATACACACACCATAAATGTAGACAGCAACATAAATCTATGCACAAGCAAAGATCATCTGAGGTGAATCGCAATTTTTCTTCTTTGACTAGTGACTGATCACAGTTAGACACAGATAATAGACAACTGCCTTATATGTAGAACTGTTAAGAGTATGAAAGAGTCTTAAACAACCCAGAACACTGAATGGTGGGTGAGTCACTCTGAAGGGTGGTTTCCAAGACCACAAGAAATCAGGAAGGCAACCTATAAGAAATATCAAAAGCATATACCACACCATAGGAAAATCCCATCTATGTCCTCTTCCTTAATATATAGGGGAGAGAGAAAAGAAAGAGAAAGAAATGGTGAGAGAGAGAAAGACAGAAACAGAGACAAAGAAGTTTCACAAAGTTGGAAATATGGTTTTTGTTAGAATCATTGTTATTGTTGTTTCAATCATGCCTTTAACTTTCCTCTGGGGAGATGTGGAAATGGTGGCCAGAGCATAATGATTTAAAAAATGCATTAATGTAGTGACACTTTGCTTAACTGCTGCATAGGGAAGGGCTATTTGATTATGCATAGATATACATCTGTATATTTTTTACATTGTTTCAGCCTTGAGGTGTTCTATACTACATTTTAAATGTTTGCAATGAGAAGTTAAGTTATTCCCACAATTGGCTAGGTCATGTCTACTTTGGGTCATTCATTCAATAAAAATGTTCTGTTTGTCTCTTAGTTCCCAGGATTATGTAAGGCATTGTGGGGTAAAAGTATGATCCCTGACTCTACACTTAAAATTAAAATTCACAGTCTAGTGAGGAGCTAGGCACATAGGCAAATGACTGTAACATAAATTGTGTATGACATGCAGTGGGATATGGCTAAGAAACTATACAGGTCTGGGAAAGTTGGGGAGACTTTTAGGGGTGGCAGCAGTTGAATGAGATTCTAAGAATATGATACAAGTAGAATGGGCACTAGAGGCAGTAGGCACAGTATACATAAGAATTTAGTTGGTTTAGGAAACTATAAATTGTTCTGCATTTCTGGAGTGTGCAAAAGTATAAAACAAAACAAATTATTTATTGAGGTATCAACAAAAGCTTATGGGTTTGAGTAATATTTTAACATGTACAGAAGTTGCCTTTAGTATCATGTGCTAAGAAAGTACTTTTGCTTAAATTACTTTATTTTGCTAGGTTCTGCTATGTAAGATACAAAACTAAAACTCTGTTTTGTGACTTTTCTGCCATCTTTTATCCTAGTTAAAAAAGAAGGGTGGCATATTTCCATGAAAGCAATGTAAAGACATGATTGCTTATCCAACAATATTATGTTTCCCTTGGAGTTGAGCCAGTGGGCCAGAAATCCTCTCATTAATTTTTCCTCATTCATCAAGGACTCAGCCTAGAGCCACAACCATACCATATATTCTTACTCAGAGAGGTTGAGGTTTGGTCAGAATTATTTGACAGTCTTTACACAATCCCCAAATAGGCACTTTCTGAATTTCTAAGACCCATTGATCCTCCAGTGCAGCTTCTCCTACCCTTTCTTTGTGTGTTGGGACATGAATAGCCCATTGGGAAACAAATTATTTAATGTGGCTGATGAAGTGGCCACAGTGCTTTTGTGGTAGAAAAGTCAGTTTCCTGGGTTCTCCTTACATATATTTAGGAAAAAATTATTTGTAATAGGAAATAAATTAAACAGAACACCAGAAACATCATCTCTTAATTTCTTTATAGTCTTCTGAATGTTTACCTATTACCTGACCAAATATAATCTTGTGATTATTAGATACAAAAAGGCCAATAAGAACAATGTGGAAGTTTCGATAGGGTTTACTGAGTTTTTCTTTTTTTCTGATGCCCTCCATAGATGAGTTAGCTGAATTAACTTGCGGTTTAGTTCCCACTCTCTGTTTAGTGGGATCTATGGTTGATAATGCTGAGCAGGGTCTAAACCTAAACCTAAAAACCCAGTAATTATTTTATTTATTTTATTTTCATGTTTTTGTTATGAAAAATAAAGGTAAAAAACATGGTACCTTATTAAATACAAGTCACATTTTTCTCTTTCCTTTTGTAAGTGATATAAGGATTGGTGCTTTGGTATCTCACTGGATTAAATGGGCTGATGGGAAAGAGCTGAGGTCAGCACCATGGGGCTTCAGACGCCAGCCTGTAAAGTGGGTGTGCTAACAACACTCAGCTTAATTTTTTTTTGTTGGTTTATAAGTATTTTTATATTTCTTGTTATTTTAAATTGAATTAATTCAAAGGTATTCAAGAGTCTAGGTTTAGAAACCAATCTGATTACTATACAGACTGACTCTGGAGAGATATGACACCTGTGTATTTGAGTCACTCACACAGTTGGTAAAGAACTTTCATAATAAAAACTACATGCTCAGCACCAATGGGACACCAACTGCCAAATCCAGCTTCCACTCAGGTTGAAAACCTAAAAGCTATCTATGTTCTATTTAAACATTAAATAGTATTTTCAAGAAAATACCTTAGTTTGGTTTAGGATTTATATTTTTCAATTTCCTAGATTAAAAATTTTAGATTCAAGTGATTTAGAATTTTAAGTGCTGTAATTCACATAGGGGTGAAAATATGCTTCTGAAAGCAAAAGGCTATCACTGCATTTTAAAAGGTCTTAAATGTGACCTTTTGACCTTACATAACCTTCAATGTGACACTTTTGAAGGATATGCTTGACTGGGGAGAAGGACAGTGGTCCTTAGGTAGCATATAATCCATTCTCTGGAAGACGAGTGTCTCAGAGCTACCCTTGCCTCCTCTTGGCTTGGCTTTTCAGGCACCTAAATAAGTAAGGACATCATCATTCTTGTGGAGGACGCTTGGAGTTACATTTCAGTGCCAAGCACTTGTTTCACTTTCCACAAAAGGGTCAATATGTTCTAGTAACTTATTGTCTTTATGTTGTGTCCAGTCACAGGGAGAGTTTTGACAGGAAGAATTCATGGGTGTCAGCGGCAAATGTATTTACAAAAAAAAAAAAAAAGTTAAAATCCTATTTCTAATCTTCTTTTTCAACTCTGCTTCAAAATATTTTTCTTCTTGGGACACCTGGATGGCTCAGTTGGTTGAGTGACCAACTCTCGGTTTCCACTCAGGTCAGGATCTCAGGGTTGTGGGATCCCGCTCCATGGCCCATGGTGGGCTCCAGCTCAGTGAGGATCCTGCTTGAAATTTTTAAATCTCCCTCTCCCTCTGCCCATCCCCTTGCCCCCCCGTTCATGTGCCCTAAATAAATAAATAAGTAAGTAAAATCTTTAAAATTTTTTTTTCCTCTGCATGTCATTTTAATCTCCCTGATTGGATGAAAATTATTTTGGTTTTTAAAATTACTTGATCTTTGGTATAGACCCAGATAGAGGACATAGAGAATGAAACAGTATCGGTCAAACTTTGGGCACAGAATGTAAAATAAACAAAGTATTCTGTCCTTTGATTTTTTTTCCAGTTCCAGAAGTAATTTATGCTTCCTTATATGCATGTATATTATATAAGTGCATTATATAGAGGGTGAAATTTTCAAATCTCTTACCAAATTCATTGGATGATGAAGAACTTTTGGAATATTTTAGTGGTTTGTAAGTCTGAAGAACATCATTCTGACTTTTTCAGCTTTTTGCATTATTCTGGGTGAGACAATGAAGCTTATGGACATACTACCTATATACATTAATCCATTATGATAACATAGTTGATTCTCTGATCATACCCATCTTAGATGATTTTCTGTTAAATGGTGACAGGGGGTCAGTGAGAGAGAGACTGATAGTGGAGGGAATGACTCTTTCCAACAGACAAAGGTAAAAATAATATTTCATTAGGTAATCAGTACATTTTTATCTTTCATCTGAGTATTGGTATGTACAGATTTAAAATGAGTTTCACCTTTAAGGAAAAAATATATTGAGGTCCACTGTGTGCAACACTGTGGCCTGTGTTTGTCATAGATTTGTGCAGTATCTTTGTCTCCACCTGGACTCAGGAATTGTCCCCACTGTACACAAGACGAGACTGAGCACAGCTTTCCCCACTGATAACATAGGTGGTAAAACTGACTACAGTCTGACTACAGTCTTCATACTACACTCTGTGCTGATATAAAAAGACCTGAATGGCCTGGATTGGACTGTGGCTGCATTGGTTAGTATTTTTTAAAAATACTTCATACATATTTTTATTGCCCACCCTTATTTCAAATAGCCCAACAGCAATTTCTGTAGGACAAATGAAAATGCAGGCCCCTTCTTGTTTAAGATTTGAAATTGGAAAAAAGAAAAAGAAGAAGAAGAAGAGTAGTTGCCTTTAAAATCAATCAGGACACCTCCATGGAAAATTACCTGGGCTGTTTCATGGTTGGCAGGAGCAGAAGAGGGAGCTGGCATCCTCTGAAGAGGCGCACGCCCGGCCCAGGTCCGGCCAGCACCCACTGGCAAGAGCTCAGCCCTGGAGTTGTCAAGATTTTCCTAAATTGTAAAAATCTAAAAGTTAAATTTTAGAATCGTCTTTTCTTCTCATTCTTTTTTATTGCCTTCTTAATTGCTTCAGGAAAGCAATAACACAAAAGATCCTTTTACATCTTTTGATTTAAAATGCAGAATCCAAAAGAGGCTTGTCTGGCTATGTTCATGGAGGAATATCTGTAGGTGATCGGTGTTCATCTTGCAAGGAAGAGCCCTATTACGGCAAACAAATTTGTTGATTTTAACTTATAAATTCAAGAAAATGATTTCAAAATTCCTAATATAGTAAGAAAATTGCCTGGTTTCTCACCCAATTTAAATTTATAAAGAAATCATTATAGCTATGGAAGCTATAATTTCTTTCTCTGTCATCACAAAAAATAGTTTTTCATTGTGTGGGGAAGCCCCCTCTTTTCACACCACTCTGTATTTTATGGCATATCTTTCCAAACTCTTTGAAAGCCCCTGTGCTGTGAACTAATTTGTTAAAGGAATTTATAAAGAATTTGGAAGCTTTAAAAAAGGTGTGTGCTCTTTTCTTTTACATTTTTTTTCACTAAGAAGTTTTTTCAATACTTCTTTCCATTGTGTGCCTAATACAGTGACGGACTGGCAAGCAGTCCAATGCAATGAATAGTAGAGACAAAGAGAAGGGATTCTAAACCTCTGTACAACTTGTGATTTGCAGCTCAGCTCATCATTAACCATGACAGCTGAGTCTCAGGTCCCCGCCCCAACCTCCCATGGCTGTGACTCTGTCCTTCTCAGAGTATGGTCCCCAGACCTGCTGTAGCAGCCTCACCTCAAATCATGTTAGAAATGCAAAGTCTTAGTCCACTACAAACCTTCTAATTCAGAAACTCTGGGGGTGGGACCTAGCAATTTGTGTTTTAACCAAGCTTCTAGCTGATTCTGATACTCTCTGAAGTTTGAGAGCCACTGATGCAATCCCAGCCTTCCACCACTGTTTTCTTTTCCCTTCACCCATGGCCTCTGGAGCCTCCCTTCTTGCTTTCTGGCGGCACCAAGACTGCTTCCATCCACCTAATCCTGGTTGCCAGAGGGAGTGAGATGGGCTAGGCTTCTCTATTTCTGCTTCTGTCTTCAGAACACAAGAAGGCTGGAAAAGTCTCTAGTCCCTGCTCAGCTAAGGTGGATCAAGGGCATAATCCTCATTCTTGCCTCAGCAGACAGATGGGAAGGGAAACATTAGTCACTAATGCTTCAGTGGGGAACTAGTTGTCTGTTGTTGGCCTGTCCTCCGAAGAATGTCTTTATCTGTGAGTCCTTCTAACTTATAATTATGACCAGTTTGCCCCTAAACACGAGCAAACCCCTGAAACACACTGGAAAGTCACATTGGGAGCAGGGCAGAAACACGAAGCTCCGTGAGCAACCAGATACCACAGGTGTTGTCACCGCCTACTGCCTTTAGGTCAGCCAGCTCTGCCCTACCCTACTCTTAGTGGGGCTAGATCTCCTAGTAAACACCCAGGAAGGTGGTTACCATGTCCAAATAAAGCACCACATGAAGGAAGACTAGGCTAATTGAACTTGATAGGTGGCCACATTGAAAAGGAAGTCCACGCTAGTCCAATGTTGACACTTAGATGCCAAAGTGCGGATTTATGGCATATTATACTGTATTGCCCCCAAAGACCTTACCTTGTTTCTTACCTATTTCTTTGGTGAATTCCTGCTGAATTCCCTTTATTATATTCCAAGACTTTGCTTCATTTAGATTTTGTACACTTAGGATGTAGTGATCTCCATCTTATTTTGTTTTAATAAACATGGTTTTAAAATAAGCTCACTATATAAAATAAGAGAATACAATGTGATTAGTACATTGTCAATGATGTGAAATAACTTCACCAAATTGTACTATAATATAAGAAATAGGGCAATCCTTCAATAACACTCAAATTAATAAATTAATAAGTACATTAATGACACTCAATTTAATAATCTATCATCCTTTTATTGAATTTTGAATAACTTTAACTATTATAAAATAAAGACATTTAAAAGGAAGGGGCCCTGATCATCCTCACCCAAGCTCACTCAAAGATGAGAGTTCTACATTGGGAGAGGCAAACCAAATAGACAAGGCTACATTCCCCCCGCAACTCCCCACCCCGGTCCTTTGCCCATAAAACAAGACTGTCACTCTGAGAAATTGAGTCACGGTCCCCACCACTTACCATGGAGCAGTGGCTCAGAGATTTTGCCCAAGGGGACAGGCAGGCCATAAGAACAGAGAACTTCCAAATTCTGCCCATGACTTTATTAGAAACAGAATGTAGAGAAGTTCAAGCCTAAAGGCACTTTCAAAAACAATAGATTTTGGTGGTAAGAAATTAATAGTAGACTGGTAGCTTCATGATAGCAATAAGTTAAGCCATTAATCACCTAGTTTCCCGGAGAGAACCACAGAAAGATGCAGGCATGAGGAACCCACCTGGGGTAGGAACAAACCTCAAAGACTGGTCTGACAAACTATCCCTGAAAAGGGGACTTGCATTTAAACGGTGGAGCAGTTTATATCCTAGGACATTGTCAGAAGCAGTAGAACAATCATGCAGCAACTAGTGGAGCCTAACATATGAGTGTGATACTAACAAAAGAAGATAACTAAGAGAGAGTTGAGGAAAAGAGATAGTCAAGGAGAGCCCTGCCAAAGCCACTGTCATCCTAGGATGCCTGTGCCCATGCCCAAGGCTACACACTTTAAGGAGAAACATCAGAGACTTCAAACACACACACACACACACACAGAGAAAGAAAGAGAGAGAGAGAGGTTACTTGTCATCAATTCAGGGAAAATAATTTTCTTCTAAGAATGCTATTTGTAATTTCACAGGAATATTAATAATAATAAGTTGTTACATTAAAATGACATGAAAAAATTAAAGAATTATAGGAAAAATACATCAAATAACTCCCACTTGGCAAAATGTTAAATATTTTTAAAAGATTATAGTGCAGGAAAAGCCTAAGCACCTTGTTCACCCAAGGTAGCCATAGACATCCTTGAAAGAAGCCCATGAGCTGTTCAGGTAGGATCCTACCTGACACCAACAAGGGAAGCCCCCAGATCTTGAGGAATGATGGAGGGGAGGGGCCATCACCATCATGGTCAGTCTTATCAATGTGGGTAGTCCTGTCAGTTGCATTTTGAAGCTTCTCCGCAGAGAGGAGGGAAAAGACTCCTTGGTGTGAGTGGACTAGAAAGAGCCAGTATGCATTTCTGGGCCCTCCAAAGGTGGGTGAGGACTGACCAAGATTGGAGACATACTTAGAAAATTGGAGCAGAAATATGAACCCCAAAGCATGACCAGGTCACCTTTTTAGGTAGATCAGGGATCAGGGCATCAGGTGACTTGTAGTGATCAGAGAGGTGAGGAGAAAAGAAAGCCGGTTTTGGTGGAAATCTGTCTTGTTCTGTCTCCCACTGGCCCTGCCTTCACTTAGGCAGACTTGGAGTGCAGGCATATTCCAGACCCCACCTGCTGATTAATCTGTCTGCTGCTATACTACTGCCCTCTGGACATTTTGGCTTGCCTCAAATGAGGAACTTAAGTTGGGTGGGGAAAGCATGGGCCTAGGAGTAGAGCTTGGGGTTAAAGCTTGGTTAGTTGAAGTGAGATACAAGCATTAGCAGCATGGACATCACCCAGGAGCTAGCTAGAAATGCAGACTCTCACAACTCTCCCCAGACCCACCAAACCAAGATGTCAACAAGACCCACAGGTGATCCTGTGCACATTGAGACTCAGAGAGCCTGGGGCCATGACAGGATCTCAGAGCCTGCAGGTCAGCGACACTGTGTATGGCTAAAAGTGATAGCCACTTTTACTGTTCTTACTGACAAATCCAAAGCAAAGTCTTAACACAGTACAGGAAAATTTTAAACCTCTATACATGTGATGGATAAGTAGGCAGACAGGTTGGAACTCATAGGAAATATAATTGCCACACATTTTCTTTGTAAGGGAATGTCACAATTTTATTCAATCCAATTATGTCCTTTCCACTCCTAAGCATTTAAATATTGCTACCTCCTAACTATGTAATAGAAGAAGTAGAATAAGTGGTGCTCCTTACCTGGGAGGGAGTAAATTCCAGCCACAGAGTGAACTTATGGAGAGAGTGCCCCATCCCAACTGCTGAAATGGGTGAATGATTGGTTCGTGTCTCTGGCCATTGTCTACAAAAATTGCTTAGTGATAATTCAGAGGGCCTCACAATTTTCTCTACAAATGTCCAAAAGAGCTGGCTGAATGGCTTAAACTGACTGTCCTAACCAGAGGAACTTAATTAAATGAGCTAGTACACAAAATATATGAATGCCCCATCCTATATTCACAGCAGCTCTCCCACTCACTGCTATAAATACCTTACCAGTCCCTTTGGAGTTAGTGGACATGGATATGCTGCCGTTTCCTCTGCTAATCTCTCATTGTTTGAGGGTCTGGCTAAGTGCCACAACGGAAAAGTTGCCATGCTTGTTGCTTTTTTACATGCATGCTTTCCACAAAGTAATTATTACTTCCTGGAGGGCTGAGGGGCTAAATCTAACTTTAGCCAGAGATTTACTCGTATTGTTGTAGATTCTCTACAATTACTACTAAAAGTTAAATGAAAGTTTTTTCCCTCCTTATGTGTTCATCTCAGGTATAGGGAATACTTTAGTACTTCATCTGCTTCTAATGATATTCTTGACAAGAATGAGAGAAAAGTCATCTTATTTGAGAATTGTTACTTCCCTAAATGACAGAACACTCATTCTCAAATTAGTTTTGCTCAAAATGTTTCTCATATCTAAAGTAGGAACAATTTCTTGGATGGGGATCTTAGCCAGGGAAGCCTTAGACTTTTCAAAATTATAATTGCCTCATTACACCAGAGTGTCCACATTTTAGTGGTGAAAGAAGTGACTGTTTAGCTTGGAAGACTTTTTAGGCCAGGAAGATAAAAGCCCGGGTGAGGAGTGTGTGTGTGCGAGGGAGTAACAGTGGCCTTCAGAAGATGAAGTGTTAATGTACAGAGGATGGAGACCAGCTGCTTTTCATCTCCACAGAGAGCAGACCAGAGGAAATGGGCTCCCAGGCACCAGGAGAACTTAGGGGGCTGTAAGTGAACATGTCATGACAGGGAGGGTCTATACTGAAGGAAGGGAAGCCAACAGGATTTCTAGAAGGAAATTGGGACATGGCCTTGAAGATTGTTGTATGTAATTGCATAATTCCTGAATAAGGATAGTTCCTAAATTCACCCTTAAAATATTTAATTTCAGGGCACATTATCATCGTCCTTTTCAACAACTCTCCCGACATGCCTACAACTTATAAATCACCATGCTGAGTGTAGTTCAACAGCCTCTCCACTCCCTTGGTGCAGTGGAAGAAGTAGGGTCTTTGGAGCCAGAAGAATCTGGGTTTGATTTCAATTTTGCAATTTACCACCTTTTTATCGTGGCTCCATTATCCAAACTCTCTGAGTTTAGTATCTTTATCCATACCAACATCATAGAGAAATTTTTTCCATTGAAGATGACATATGTAGGTTTCCTAATACAAGAGCAGGTACACACTAAGCATTTAATGATAACACTGGGTACCTGATATTATCTACAAGGACTGTGTAGTACTTCATTGTGATACTACAGAAAATCTACTCCTATGTTACACTTAGGAAATGCAGACACCGAGGGGTTAAGTAGTTGCACAAGGACATAAAGCCAATAAGTTGGAGGCAGTGATTCAGTGAACACATATGTTTCATTTAAAAGCTGGTGCTCTTTTTACTAGACCATACTGTCTCATATTATAGGAAACAAATTAAGGATACCGAGAATGCTTATCAGCATATGTGCCTATTATTAAAATCCACAGTTTTCAAAGTTCAGGCTCTCAGAAGGCCTAACAAACCTGTCCCACCTGCACTGAATTTGCCCCTCTTCACCTTTTTTTTTGAGCATCCAGTCTCTTGAGGGTAAGCTGTCATCATTATGTTAGGAGACATATTAGTAAATTTGCTTGGAGGATCTCTCAAAAACTATCAACACTCTGCATTAAAGGGAGATATGTTGGATTTATTTCAGATCTGCAAGCTATTTTTCACCAATTTCTCTTATTTTATCCATTTATTCATTCAACAAACATTTGTTAATGTCTGTGTTCCAGAGGATGTTTTGGGTATTGGGAATTTACGCCTGAAGGATGCTCTGTCTGGTGAAAAAGAAAGGGATCAACAAACAATTGCAATGTGATGAGATAAGTACTCCATTATAAATGACACAAAGCTCCCAGAAAGAGCAAATTTGGAGAAGTATTTCAGAGTCAATAACATTTGAGCCAGGTCTTATGCGTTGCAGAAGAGCAGATATCCAGTCAAAGACCTTGGTAAAAACATTAAAAATGCTAAACAATTATTGAGCCATATTTACAGAAAATCTTCACATCTTATGTACTGCAATTCAAACTCATGTTACCTTGATGAAAGTAAAATATTTTAAGCATGAATGAAGTTAGAATGGTAAGGATAAAGTGGAACTATATTATAACATTATCATCGCTAATTCTTTAATAAGAAATTAAACCAATGAATAGAGTCTTCCTTTTAGAAAATTATCTGTTTAAAAAATTTTTGGACGCCAAGAAATGACTTGCCTGTAGATCTACACATGAGAGAGGGAAATGTGGGTAGATGTGGTTCCTGGGGTAGCCAAGCAGATCACTTTGAGAATGCTTGACTTACTTCCATTTGCCCTTGCAAGATACTTCTACATATTAGTTGGCCTGGAAACTTTCAGGCAATCATTTTTGTACCATATACACTAACTGAAGTGGTCTTTTTTACAACCTCAGAATACGTGAGTCAAGCTACTAGCCATTTCTCTTACATTTATAAATTGCTGCTCTGAATAATTTTGCCTTTGAGATATGTTTGTGTGTGTGTGTGTGCGTGTGTATGTGTGTGTGTGTATATATATATACATATATGGAATGTTAAGTTAAAAGTTTTTTTTTAGTCAAATGCACACCTTTTATATGTTGGCTAAAAATTTAAATATAACATACAGTGGAATGTGTGTGAACATTAAGGGAATAGTATTGGTATTTTAGGTCACTTATTAATGGTCTATAACTAATATCTTTGAGATACTAGTTCTGGCTTTTATTTGTATCACAAAGACATTAGGAGGAAAAATAATAATTCTGCAAGTTCTGAGTATACAAGAAGTGCTTAATGGTAGCAGGAACTATCCTCATAATGGGTTTGGAGTTTGGATTCAAATACACTTTGGTAATTGTCACAATGCCTGTAATGGTTAACATTTTTACATATGAGTTAGTATCCAAGAATTTGGTAAGCATGTGCTTGTATATGGAATGGCTGCTTGAGCTATATTTTATTAAGTATATCTTGACTTTGGGTCAGGGCTTGTTCAAAAAACTATAAACAGAAAACTTAACTTTGTATTATTTATCACTGCTCCCATCAAACCTGTCCCTTCTTTTATATAACTAAATGTGGGATATTCTTTGCATGGTTTAATTTTCCAACTTGTGTAATATATGATAAATCCATTTTTTCCTGATCTTTTAATGTAGATTTTCTATTTTTTTCTCTTACATCTCATTAAATGATATTTCTTTTAAAAATCTTAAACTATTCAAAAAAAATCTTAAACTATTCCAGGGTCTGTGATAATCACTCATTAGAATGAGTGATTGTAATTTCATTGCAAAGAGCAACCTAATAAAGTCATCACAAATAAAAAGTTTTGAAAAGTATTCTTGACTATTAATAATATAAATATTTTTAGCACTCCGAAGTGTGATTTTTTGTTAAAGGGATATACTAACAAACTATTACTATTGTGATATTATCTTTTTGAATGTGACAGTATTATCTCAAGAGTAAAGAAAAAATACTAGCAGTATACTTTATTATAATCTAATACATAAAATAACACATGATATTCATAAAAATGTTATTCACTTTTTCTCTTATTAAGAAAAAACAATTCTTTGTATAGAAGTTTGATACAAATCATGAAGTAAGTAAGGTCTCTGAAAATAGTATACAAACAATGGATTTTAAATCAAAAATGTTTATTGTAAAAAAGGACCTTTAAAAATTGTTTTTTAAAAAAGAAACATTGATTTCACAAGTCTTCAGGTTGTTTATAGACATCAGCTATAGACAACATCTCACTTTCATACAAAACTCATTCAATCATATAAAAATAAACACAAATTTACATTGACTCATCATCTATACAATTACTTTAAAAAGGCACTTGGAAGGGTGCTGTATGGATTGCATTTGTTGTATGCATTTAAAATAGTTTAAGTACATTACTGAGTTTCTAAGAATCCTTTCTTGCACTTATTCCCATCTTTAATTAATTTTAGAAAATCATTAAAAATTCTTTTAAAAGGTAAGACATGGAGCATGCACCAGGAATGTTCAAAGCTATTCTTTACCTCCTCCCCCAAGGAGCATACTCTTTATTGGCGACAACAAAAACAAAAACAAAACACTCAATACATTCTCCTGTGTTTTGTTCTTGTTCTTTTTTTTTTTTTTCTCTTTCTTGGTCTCTGTCTTAAAAATACAGTTTAAAGCATTACAGGTAATCAAAAAAGGCTTTAGTTCAACAATGATAACCAGACATCAGACATGTAATGAAGTAAACTTGGAATACTTTATAAGGCACCTGAGATAGTGTCTGGCAAATTCTCTTCCTATAGGAAATTCTATTACAAACTCTATTACAAAACAATACTGTTCTTTTCAGTTGAAATGATTTGGCAGCAATGTAAATCTTTGCATTCTTTCTTAGTGAGAAAAGATGCAATGTGCTTTTTGCTTCATCTTTTGAAGAGAAAGATTCTTGTCTTTTATCCTCTCAATCTAGCTGTCAGTAAATATATAGTAATTTTAAACTTCACATGGAAAGGATTAAATATGAACACATGGATTTTGTGCTCTTGCAGCTTTTAGTGTGTGTGCCTGTGTGTGCCTGTGTGTGTGTGTGTGTTTGTGTGTCTGTGTGTCCATGTGTCTGTGTGTCTATACACATTATTTGGTCGGTAAGCACAAGAGAAAATGCCTTTGGACTTTTATTTGTCATTTGGAGCCGGAGTGAAGAAATGCATTCTGTTCGAGTAAACATTGATTGCGTAACTCAGTGTGCTACACAGCAGCCAGATTCCTCATGTTTGTGCAGAAGAGACATTCTGGAGAAGGTTTTGGAGCAGTTTTTGCACTGGTATTTCTTTACATCCGAGTGGGTCTGCAGATGAGCCCTCAGATTTGACCTGTCTGCAAATGCTCTGTTGCAGTGAGGGCAAGAAAAAGGCTTCTCCCCTGGGGGTGGGGGTGGGGGTTGAGAAAGAAAGATAGTCAGTGTTTTTAGAGGAAATATAAAGTCAGATAACATTTGCGAATAACCATACATTTTGTCAAAAAAAAAAAACTTGATTAAAATTCTCCATAACAGATACTTTTTTCATATCTGGCCCTTTAAGATAAATTTGAATATTGCGTTAAAAAAAATCACACCAAGAATATTGTTACTGCTGCCAGTCATGCAGAAATATTTCATGTAGTTCTAGGACTTTCACATATTAAAGCTTTCTGCTTCAGCAGGTGCAGCTAATGTTGAGCTCCTCCCAACATTTCCTAATATTTCCCCTTTTCCCTCCTTCTGTATTATGACTAAGGTTGGATAAATGCCTTGGTTCCCTAGGATGATTTTGTGTTAGGAATAAAATATTCAGCAGCAAAAAACAAAACATAATAAAACAATGGAGAGTAAATTCAGTTCTAACTATCCAACTTGCTATGGGGTGATAGATATCACAGCAAGAATGTTACCAACAGAAGACTATAAGCAAGCCATTCACATATCTACCAAAGCAATTGATTAAGATAGCAACATCTGTGTTTGCTGAATATTGGGAGCAGTTTCACAGAACACACATTCAAGTACATCTTTCCTGATTTTTTAACTGATCTTTGATACCCAACCTTGTGAATCTACTTTCCAAAGTCTAAACGCTGTTTGCAGTCTCTGGAGCAGAGGTTGTTAACAAGAAATGGAGCACTCTGCTCTAACAACTTTTTGAGTCATCAGGAAGTAGCTATAAATGATCATCCATCATTGAAAACACTGTGTCACTACTTAATGCAAATTCAACAGCCAGCCCAGAGCTTCATTCTATCAGACAGTAACATTCCTGGCTACGTTTTTCTCTTACCAGTGTGAGTTCTAATGTGTCCTTGAAGTAACCAGGGTCTGGAAAACGCCTTGCCACAGATCTTGCAGACACAAGGTAAAGTGTGGGTCCGAATGTGCATCTTAAGGGCGCCCAGGCTCACATATTCCTTGTCACAGTATTTACAGCTGAAAGATTTCCTAGACTGGGCATCACAGTGCAACTGCTTATGTTTGGCCAGCCCAGAAAAAGTTGAATAGGTTTTATTGCATAAATTGCACTGAAACTTTTCAGCTTCAATGGCATGGGGGTCTGAAAGCTTGGATTGTAGTCTTTCCTCTTCATCACTAATGGGGCTTTCTGAGCCACTGTGGTCCTTGGATGAGGTGTCAGATGGAGGAGGGGGGCTCACTCGCCCCAAGGATGAGGGGTATCCAGAAAGAGGAGAGAGGCCATTGGATAGTGGGGAGTGGAATGGAGCTGCCGTAGTCCACACGGTAATGGGGCTGTATGCTCCCGAGCTGAGGATCTCTGGTTGTGGTATGACAGGCATAGGGTAGCTCTCATAGAGATATGGGGAAATAATCACTAGGGGAAAGAAAAGGAAAGGAAAGAAGATTAAGGTAAAAAAAAAATAACTTGAAAACACACTAAGGAGCTACTTTGCAACACAACACACACAGAGGACTTTATAATGAAGTAAATAGACTCATTTAGGAAGACATAGGCATTGATAAAACATTTCATTTCCACCCTTGCTGCTACAGAGTTACTGTGCTTTAATGCACATCTATGCCTCCTGCATATATAGTGTGACAGGAGCTATAACATGCTGTGCAGTGAGGGAGTGCAGCCAAGTGAGTGCCTTCACAGTCTGCACTGAGGAGGAAAAACTTATATATTATTTTAAAGATACAAAAAGTTATTTTCCGTTTTATGCATGGGTTATTTGCAGGTTCTATGACTGTGAGTACAAAGATATGTGTAGATCAAGCTGCTCTCTGAAGGAAAGGAGCCTTATTACATGAAAAAAGCAATAATTCAACATTTATGTATTGTGTTACTCATCCTCCATATACTCATTATGCATGTATATACAAGCTTTAGAAAATGAAGTTGCAAGAGTTGAATGTCAGTTAAGAGTTCTGAAAGTTCTAAAAGTTTTGAATTAAAACTTACCCTAAATGATCAAAAGAATCTGAACTCTCTTTTAGGACACTGTTTGAAAGGAAAACAACTTTGTCTTTGGTTCTTTTGTAATAATATTTGAGTTGTAACACATATCAATAGATTTATATATATATATATAGAGAGAGAGAGAGAGAGAGAGATGATAGATTTCATTTCCTTTTTAATTTTTATTTATTTATTTATTTATTTTTTACCTGTGTGTGTGTCCAGTTCGCTGTAGTTGGGCTTTTTGGAGGCGTTGAAATGCTTCTTGACCAGGAAAGAGCGCGGCATCTTGCCGGCGGGTCCGGCGGGCGCCCGGCGCGGATAACGGTCCGGCGGGAGGACGCGGTCGGTCCCTAGAGCATCGCGGCCGGCTGGGCTCGGGCTGGGGCCGCGCTCAGGTGCGGCAGGCGGACGGGCCGGCGCCTCTGAAGTCGCCTGGCTCCTTTACGAACTGAGCCCGTTTTGGCTGGGAGGGTTTTTTTTCCTCTCTTTTGCAAGAAGGATCCAATCACAGCGGAGAGGTTCAGATTTCAGCTCCTCCCTCTGGGACAGCTGTGAACAGAGGAAGAATCTGTTGTCAGACTAAATTATTCTGGTTCAAAATGGGCTGTTCTTCGGGATTTCAGTGGAGAGGAAAAAAAGTGCCTAAATATTTTCAAGAGAGGTAATTTTACTTCTTTAGCTTGCCAGTTATTCGTGCTCTCAGAGAGCTAGATAAGTCCTAGGAAGTGTGATTTCTAAAGCGGGCCTGGCTTCCAGATGTCGGGTAAAGCAATGCAGTGGGACAAAATGTTCGCTAGAGGAAGGAAAGGGTGTCCTACAAGATCCCAGGTCAGCCTCTGGTATTAATGAGAGCCTATATTTGTAAGTGGCATTCGGAGAGGTTTTACTTGTGCAGGGACTGAACAATTAACTTTTGGCTTTTGAAAAAAGGAGGTAGCTCCGTCAAGACAAAAGCCCCTGTGAGTGAGGAGGGCGCCCCCACAGTGGGGGGCTTCCCTGGTCTGCAAAAGGGGCCGAGCCACATGCCGTGAGTGTTCTGAATGCTGGGAATGCACTTCATGTCTTTAAAGGCTCAGCAAAGCCAGAGGCGCACTTCCTCGTGGAAATTAAGTAATCATGTCACCATATTAGTTATGGTGGCTTGAAAAAAATGCTTTGTAGCCCATGAAAGACCTGCTTATCGGAAGACCTGGGACACAACAAAGATAAGAAGGAACGCTGCACAGAGAGAAGGGACAGTATGTAAACTGTCATTAGGAACCAAAATGTATCTTTTTGTATTTATATATGTATATATAAGACATCTCATATACATATATATAATGAATGGGCCTTTAGAGACAATTATTTCATTTCAAATATTTATCTGCTTTTATATGGTAGTATTTTCTTCAGTATAAAATCATCAAAATTCATCTGGGTATCTGCCAGTTTCCTGGATTGTATTTTTAAAGAAAGGATGCCATTATGTCTACTGCTTGGTTAAAGTTCTAAAGAGCTAGTCTAGTAACCAGCGAAAATACTTTGATTTTTTTGTATATGGTATTAAATCTAAAAATCCTCCAAGGTGGCTAATTTTAAAAGTAAAATTTCTACCGTATTTTCAACCATCTCAGACCATTCCAGACTTTTCTCCCTACCTTTTGCTTAAAGACTGAGGAAAGAACAAATTTGCAACAAGCACCCTACCCTTGTTTCTAACAGGTGCTGGAAGAAAAAAATGAAAAAGAAAATAATAGTGGTGAAGTCAAGACTTGTAAGAGGAAAATGCATTATCAGGCTGCATAACTTCTTAATTTTGGGAGGAGAAAACAAATCTGTGTGCTGGGGGGAGGGGGGAGGACCAAAGTGGTGGCACTCACAAGTTTCTGAGCCAATGTCAATGATTCTATTTTTTTCTTCCAACAGTCATAATTTAAATGCCAAAGAAATGAATTTAGATGAATCTTTATGTTAATAGGAATAGTATTTGTAGTAGACAGGAAAATGTGAATATGCATTAGATTCCTCTGCAAACTACAAACTAGAGTATAATTCAGGGCATGTTTTCTGAGCTTGCTACTTGGACCTGGTTTATTGGAACAGGAGTCCTCCTTGCTCTTTCTGCCCCATTTCCTGCAAAAGGCACCTTTTGTTAGAAATATAATATAGTTGAGCAGCAAAGGTGAATTGCTTGTATTTCTTCCTTTCACTCTATACTGCCTATTGATATTAGCAAAGAGTGTCAGAGAACATTTTGGTATTGATTTCTTGGTAGTTATTACACAACATAACCTGCTGAAGTGTATATTTTAAAAATTCACTTAAAAAGTCTAACAGTAATTCACTATGCTTGAAAAAAAATCTTGAATTTGGATTACAGATGCATAACTGAGCCGAGTTCCCCACCACATGTCCAGGGGGGCTCATCACACATGACACAGATCAGAGTCAGGACATGTACTGGGATGAGCAGATAGTGTTCAGGATCGTGTATGAGGCATGTCATTACACAGGTCTGCGTGGTAACTAGTCACACGTAGACCTGTGTGAGGTCTGGTCTGCTGTCAGGAGAGGGAGAGCCTGCGAGCTGATAGCATGAGTCAGACTGCACAGGTGCTCTGCTCAGACACAGCAGAGGGCATTTGGCGCCAGAACGGTGTGGTAAAAACAGGGGAAGGGAAGTAAAATCCCCGCCCAAAGGCCAGCTGCTGGGACTCTGCTAAGACAAGACGGAAGGTTCCCATCCTGAAAGCCAGAGGGGTGATATAGAGAAGTTAGCTTTGGTCACTGGCTAGAAGACTGTCTTGCCAAGGGACAAAAATCTTTGCTGAGGCAATGACACCAGGTTTAAAATGTTTCATTTGGGCAAAACAAATCCCAATGCGTTTTGCTAATGCAAGAAATTAGCCTTAGGTTGACATAATTAGGCTAATTGGAATAGTGAGAAAAGATGCTTATCTGAGATGTTAGGGTGTACACAGCCCAGCTAGGGTGAAGCTGGTGGACACAGGTCATATACAACAAAAGAAGGCACAGGCTCAGCCTAGGCTCCTGACAGCTGAATGTGGGGTAGAGAGAAATGAGGAAAGGAGGTAAACTACTGCCCGTGGGCAATTTCCAGGCTCAATGGCTTTGATTCCACCGATGTTCAGTGTAATTTGGTTATCATGGGGAAGGTGAGGGCTTAAAAATAACCCTGTGGTGGAGCTCACTAGAGGGTCCCTTCCTTCATGGATCTTCTGTGGGGTATGTGGGATGTTAGAAGCCCACGCAGTCTGATTTCTGAATTGTCATGAATTTTATTAGGGTGTGACTTGATGTGACTTATCTGACAGTCCCTTATTTCCTTTTTTTTCTGAAGAAGTCAACAAAGATAATTGGTGGAAAACTTTGTAAATTAAAGTTCTGGGCCCTCGTGGGAGGGCCGGCCCTTCTCCACAGGCTTTCCTGTACTGATGGGATTTCTCCTGGAGACAGGCTTTTTCATGAAAGACATATTCTTGCCTTGCCAGATAGGGAAATAAATTAGATTTATGAGGTTTGGGAATGCACCTCAGATTTATTTACTTTGCACAAAGATTTGTGTACATTTAGGTATTTATGTAAAAAGCGGTGCAGACTGACTACTTAGTTTAGGAAATGGAGTAAATCTAACACCAGGAGAAACCGTAGCTTGGCAGAGGCAGAAACGCCCATCTTGTGCCGGGCCCTGTCTCCCAAAATGAATGGCCTCTCTTTCTAGCTTTCATTGTGGCAGGATTGCCCTGGAGTGGACAGGGCAGGAATTAACTCCCTTGAATGATATGCAGTTATGAAATACCATTAGTTTGAGTGTGATATCTGGAGAATATTATAATATATTACTACTTTTTAAAACTATTTACATAATAGCAAAATGTTTATTATATGTTACTTTGAAGTGTGAATGACAAAGACATGATATCATCTTATGATTTTGTATATATCTGTATTTGTATTTATTTCTTAATATATTTGTATTTATATTCCTAATTCATAATTTAATTCACCCTCAGATAAGATAAACCAATCTCTAAAAGAGAAGTGTTTCCTTTTAGTACCTTGGTTTGTCTATCTGTAAATTATGTTTAATACTTTTCCCTTGTCTCTTTTAGAATTATTTAAGAACAAATATTTCCCAATATAAAAGGGAAAATAATCAGAGTGAGCATAGGATTCTGCTTCTATATTTTGGGCTTCATAACAAGGAGACAGACCCCTTTTCTCCGGGGATGTGAGTAAAACTCACATACACCTCAACATACATAAGTGTATCTACTCAGTGATGTCAACAGAACCAAATGAGAAGGTGTATGTGTGTGTGCCCACATGCACACATGTGTGTGTGTGTGTGTGTGTGTGAGAGAGAGAGAATTGGGGTGAAAAACAATAACAAAAATGGTATCAGGATGTCCCTCTGCTGCTTAAGAATTTCCATTATTTCCTGTGTGTTCCCGGGGCCACATTCACCAGGTTGATAGACATTAGTATTGTGTGTCTGTCTGGAGTTAGTTCTAATGCTATTCGCTCAGTAAGTGGTAATCATATAGAATCAGTAAATATTTAAGATAATTTCTAACAGAAAACCCTGTTTAACATGGAACCAGCATTTTGATGAGATTTATTTTGTGTCAAATCACTTGTATTCGGAATCTTATTTCTAGTGATAGTTTTATAATCCCATTTCCCTTTGGGTGGCTATATTAATCTCTTCAGTGTTCTGTTTGTACCTTGTGGAAAATGTTGATGATCTTATCTGTTAGATGAGAAAGAAGACTGTTCAGAATGTTGACATTATCTATATTTTATGCAACAACTCAGGGATATGTGGTTGCAAAGAGACACCTATTGGTCAACTTTGGAAAACATATTGCTTTCTTTTTCTGTTATTCTTTTCCATAACTTTTTAATAAGTCTGCCACCTTGTGGAAAATGGGTGATTTAACTGGACTCTGAGAGCATTAAGTTGTTCCCATGTTGTAATTAGCCCGATTTCAGGTGAATGCCATTTAAATGTTGAATTTTAAATTTATTTTTAATTACAAATGACTTAGGTCATTTGTAGAAACACAAATGATACCATACAACAAATTACACTGGCATTTCAAGATAGGTAAGTAAAGAAAATTTATGATGTTCTTCAATCTGTACAGTTACGAAGAAAGAAGTAGGCAAAACTAACAGTGTTATGTTCAAAACTTGGTAAGCACCTCCAGTGACTTTTTCATATATCCTCATATGATCTCTACAAGGTAGAGTTTTGAAGGTGAGGAATAAGGCTTTCCAGGAACATTCAAAATTAAGGCAAAGGAGCCAGAGATGTCTGCTCAGTGGGCCCGTGTGCAGGGTTATGTGCCTTGTTGCTGGGCTCTGCTACACCACCGTGGTTTATAAGGTAGGCTAAAAGTACCCAGTACCAGGCAGTTTGTGGAGTTATGCATAATGATACTAGCTACCATTT